CGGCCACTGATTGTGAGAGGACCTTCTCCGAGCTGGGTGATTTGCTGGAGACGAGGCGTCTCCGCATGAAGGCAGACCTCCTCTCCGCCCTACAAAGCCTACGTAGTTGGAAGCGCCTTGGCTTGAAGCCTACAAAGTTAGCAAAAAGTCCACGTAGTGACGCCATCTCTCCCGAAGACCTGGAGACCATCTACGAGATATACGGCGGTTGATTCACTACGTAATCTATCAATCAAGTCAATCAAGTCAATCAAGTCAAGCCTCATTTGTGCCATCAAGTCAATCAAGTCAATCAAAACGTGCCAGATCCGTCAATCAATCAAGCAATTCACCCCGACTTGATTGACTTGATTGTTGCCAACTCTGCTTGCAGGTAGGAAGAGCTTGATGGAAATATCGTCGAAGTTGATGAATCCTAGCAGCGTCAGAAGCTTTGACGCCTCAATAGACTGCTGCACGACTGCATCAAATGTTGTCTCCCATGTAGTAAGGACACTTTCTCCGTACTGGTGGACGAGCCGGATAGGCTTTTGAGCTAGTATCTCCTTTCGACGCTCGCGGTATTCCTTGAGATATTCTCGTAGATCCGACTTGAGACGGTCAGTCTTGCACACATACGCCCCAGAGAGGCTGACTGCGAGTGCGAAGTAGCCAAGCTCGCCTACGACTTTGTGGACGGTAGCCTCGTCGTGGTCTTTGTAGTCTATCTTCGAACATTTTTTAAAGAGGGTCGCCGCCTCATCAGGTTCCATTTTAGCTACCCTCACCGCTTGTAGCGGCGTGAGTCCTTCGGCGGTTAAGCTGCGGGTAGTAATGACGACATTGACATATGGTGAGTCTGGGATGAAATGCTGGATATTAACAAGGTCATCCAGATACTTGTCACCGTCGGCGCCGTTAATTCTGTCCGCCCCATCAAAAACAAACAGCCACCTGCCCTCTCGCCCGTTAAACCAGTTCTTAATCGCCACCACCGCATCTTCGATCTTCACGCTACCGTCTCCGAATGTGGCTACGTCAAACAGCAGGCGGTAGACCTCTAGGAAGCCACGCTCGGTGGTTGCTTTGCGGCCAGCCTCGATCCAAAAACTCGCGCTGTATTCCTGTCGGTGTTGTCGAATGTAGCTCCGGACGAGCTGTGTCTTGCCAGCCCCACCTAGCCCGGACACGACAACGATTCTTGAACTCTGGGCATCGTCTCTGACCCTTTCCTTTGTAAGTTGCTCGTGGAGCTCATCGTGGAGGCTAGGTCGTTGCACGAAGGTCGTAACCGGTGGGAGGGAGGAGTACGAGTAGTGGCCAGCGTAGCTAGGCCGAGGTAAGGCTCTAGGTACTCCAACTTGTTAGCTTGACGATAGAAAAGGGATACGGGAAAGTATTACGCTCTGGGAAATGGTAGTGCGCATCGCCAAGATGAGCTTTATTGTGGATATGGATGTTCTCGAAGCTATGACCACCCGATCCGCAACTAGGCCCTTCCGGTAACGACATCTAGTTTTAGGATCAGCGTCTCGGGCGCATCGGATGTGAAGTTCTATGAGGTCGGGCGATCTTCGCAGGGGTGGTGGAGACAAGACTCTTCTACTAGTGGTCGCTATACCTAATACAGCCATAGCCCACCTGAATGCCAAGACTCTCCGAGCACAGAGCTAACTAGTGCACTTTCATAATCACAGACACGAACAATCCTACACTTATCGTTTTGATCCACTTCGCCGACTAAATGGCGGAGCCGTTTGGCATCGCCGCTGCCTTTACGACGTGCGTCGACTGCTTCGGTTACATCCAACTCGGCCGCCACTTCGGACGGGACTTCCAGACAGACTTACTAGTGCTCAACTGCACACGGCTTCGCCTGACACGCTGGGGAGAAGCCGTCAGCGTCTACACCGACCCGTACTTAGGCCGGCCTGATGCCACCGCAGACGAACTTAAGACCGCCAAGAACACTCTTCATCAGATTTTAGTCCTCTTTGCCGCTACAGAAAAGGTCTCCAAGAAGTACAGGCTTAGCGCAAAGGCTAGGCAAGATCTCGCTACGCTTTCGGCGGATGACATGGACCCTGTAGTCATATCGCTTACCAACAAGATGAGAGAACTGGCGACTAAGCGACAAAAGGGAAGCAGCATCCACAAGATAACAAGTTAGGCTCTGTACAACAGATCTGAACTAAAAGAGCTTATCGAAAATATTGTTTTGCTCATTGACAGCCTTGAGAACCTCTTCCCTAGCCCTGGATGTATCGCACTCGCAAAGCAGGAGGCCGCAGAAATTGCCAACAAACGGGCTCTTGAGCTTACTGAGAGCGCCGCCACAGGCGTAGACACGATGCTCCATGATGCAGCAAAGGAGGCTCTTACTGGACACCAGTACCTTAATCTTGTGGTGAATGGAAAAGCCAAAATCGGGGATACCTTTAGTAGTGACTGGAAAGGGAGGGCATTAGGCGCATCTAATTGTTATGAGGGAATAGAGGTGGGCGAGAAGGGGAAAGCATCTTTGGGAACTAAGTATGGCGGGAAGGATTTTTGGGAAGATTAATAATGATATAACTACGTTATCTAACAGCCTTAATGTTATCTTATGTCGTACCTTGGCTGCCTAGCATTCACCTGTCCCTGCACATTTGGTTGCGGCCATTGTTGGCAATGGACCGATCATTAGCATAGAACTGTTGCGACGTACCTTGGCATTCATGTTCATATTACATTTAGAGTAGCATATCTATGGTATCTAGGTACAATATACTTACACGACCATACTTTTCCACGCCTAGAGACGATATCGACAAGGCAGGCTGAGGTTAAGGGTGCGATTAGCGCAGCGGATAAGCAGCTTGCGGTTATGGAGGACAATTTAAAAGAGATGAATCTCAGCGATGATGAGGAGGCGTCTACACCAGCAGAAGGCAAAGCCGAGGCATTACGGCAGGTCGAGGAAGAATGGAAAGCGTTAGCTGCGTTACGGATACTGTTGGATGAACTGCTAGCCAAGGCGCAGGAAGAAGCTGTCGCAAGAGCTACTAGGAATCAGGAGCAGTTCCACCACAATCACGTTTAGCAATAATAACCCGGGCTTTCAAGCTGGCTCCATTACTGGCGGAGTTAGCGAACTCGCTTTTAGAGGGAAGTGATTAGATTATATGTTCTTTACAATGATAGTGGTAAAGATGATAGTTATAGAGCTAGGCCACGTCTACTGTTATACGTAGGAAGAAGTTGATATCGCTGCTCGCGTTAATATCAAGCCATTTGGACGCAACGTGACGTGCACGAGTTGCTGGCAAAAGGTGACCCTGGCTGGTTTCGCAATGCGCTGTACCCCATCGAACAGCTGTCTTCACGTGATCTCAGCATGAGCTTAAGAGACATAGGGAGCACAGCTTGGCATCCCTCGCAGCGTGCGCAAAAGGTGAAGGAGGTTTTGCAAAGTACTGTATTATACCCTAAAAGACGCCGTTTATTTAAACCCCACATATTGACAGTTTTCATACTTTACCCTTGCCCCTCATCACCCACTTTCCGTCAGCTCCAAGAGAACTTGGCAAGAAATAAGTTCATTCCGCCTTCGACTAGTAGCTACGTGCACAATCACTCCTTCTAGCCCATAAGGACATTGCACTTTGAAAAGCGCATTTCCTGAGGCCCTCTACTAGCAATTCATAGATCAAACGACACAGCAAACTGCAGTCAATTATCCGAGACATTATTCCCAATCCGGGGCCAGTACGCCAGGGAATCTTCCTAAAGATCACCAGGCGACTATCTACTCAATCCCCCCAGTGTTCAGTTTCGATGACTGGAATGTAAATCCAACGTGCAAAAATTATAATGTGACTCTAATTAGACTCGCGGTGTGGTTGTCGGTGTTAAATGTCGTTCACATACTAATTTGTCAGCGGACAAATCCAGCAGTTACCCAATCCGAGCTCATGTACGGATTACACAGATAACCAAGCCAAGCTGTCTCTTTGAGCGATTCCTCCGTCAGCTTCTACCAACCACTGGTGCATAGATCAATCGCGCCTTAACTCATGGAAGGAAACCCGGATGAGAGAGGGTGTTTGGTGGAGGTTTTTGGGATTCCGAAAGCATGTGCCGACGGTGTGGGGCAATTTGAGACACGCGGTGGGACGAACAACTGCAGGATTCATCACTCCGAGCATTGGGGAGTGTGCGTCCCTGGTTTGTGAGTAGAGATCCTGGATCGATGGTGTCATCTACCACATAGAATAAATAGGTAGGGGCCTGCTGCTCTTTCTTTACCTTTACTTCTTACCCCTCCCGGCTCTCAATTGATGTCTCGTCTACTCAATTTAAATCGACAACCTCAGTACAACTCGAATTGACTCCACCCATACCATGTCTATCAAGGCAGTTTTTGGAGGTGCGTCCTTCAACCCGGCAGGCGCGTTCAACAACGAACAGGCCGTCAAGGAAGCATTTCAAGTGCTCCAAAAGGAGGGTGTCACAACGCTAGACACAGCTCGCCTGTACTCCGGCTCTGAGGAAACAATCGGTCGCACACCCGGACACGAAGACTTCATTGTTGACACCAAAATTCTAGGCGGTTTCGGGCCTGGGTCAGCAAGCAAAGATGCCATCATCAGGGACGCGCAGGACTCATTGAACCGGTGCCAGATTAAGCAATTCGACATCTTGTACCTTCACGCCCCGGATAAGTCTGTGCCGATTGAAGAGACTCTGGAAGGCCTCAATGAAGTCTACAAGAAAGGCATCTTCAAGAGATTTGGCGTGTCCAACTTCTCGGCAGAGCAGGTGCAGGAGGCGTACGACGTGGCGAAGAGCAAGGGATACCCGCTTCCAACGGTATACCAGGGCAACTACTCGCCTGTCGCAAGGAAGGCGGAATCTCTTCTCTTCCCGACGCTTCGCAAACTCGGCATCGTTTTCTACGCATACTCACCCCTCGCTGGGGGCTTGCTCACCAAGACGAAAGAGTCGATGGCAGCAGGAGCGGGCCGCTTCAATGAAAAGGCTGTAGGTGGCTTGTACAACAAGCTCTACAACAAACCGGCGTACATCGAGGCACTTTCTGAGTGGAATGACATTGCGGAGAAAGAGGGAGTTCCGAAGGCGGAGTTGGCATATCGATGGGTTGGGTATCACTCTGCGCTGAAGGCAGATCTGGGTGATGCGGTAATCTTTGGGGCGAGCAGCCTGAAGCAGATCGAGCAGACGGCACAGGGCTTGAAGAAGGGACCGCTGAGCGATGAGGCGGTGGAGAGGATCCAGCATGTTTGGAAGACAGTGGAGAGTGTGGCTCCGCTGGACAATTGGGAGGTTGCTGGCGGAGCGTAAGGGCAATTACCGGCTGCATCACAATTGACTGTATATTTACTCATGGATATAATGAACCGAAGGATGAGAATGACTGAGCGACGCCGAAACGAACCACGTGCAATGAAGGCGGGAATGGGGGAATTGGGTGCGCACCGATTCGGCCTAGCGTGATATGACCCCAGCTTCTGACGAAGGCAGCTGTCACTGACAAACTGGACCACACTCACTGTAGGCACCACACAAACACCACATTTAAGCTCAAGGTTGCCACCAAAAAGACGTCCGCACACACATCTACACACAGAAAAACCATCAAGGCCATCAAGCCCCTCGTCTCCGCCCACCAATCCGCAATTTTGACTGTTCGACGACCACCCCGCCATGGACCAAGCAGCTCGCGGCGCGGCAGCTCTCAAGGACAGCAACTACGAGGAAGCCATAACGCAGTACACGGCGGCACTCTCCGCAAATCCAAATGCCGTTCCTTACTATATACAACGCTCCATGGCGTACCAGCGAAGCGGCAAATACAGCGAGGCTCTCGCCGACGCTGAAATGGCCGTGGTTCTCGCACACCGGCGCGCAAGGCGGGAACAGATCAAGGACGCGCAACTGCGACGTGGCATTGCACTTTTCTTCCTAGAGCGTTACGCGGATGCAGAATTTGCTCTTAGCATCGTGCAGCGGCTGGATGCGAAGGAAAAGACGTTGCAAGTTTGGCAGATGAAGGTTGCGAAGAAGCTGAAGGAGTTGGAGGAGGGCGATGAGCGGGGCAAGGTCACAGCAGTGGAGATTCCTGATGTGGAGCCCCCAAGCACGTCCACTTCAAAGACAATCAAGAGCGAGGCGGTCAAATCAGAGGAGCCGGCCCCGCCTGCAGCTCTAAAACCTATTGTCCCTACTCCGGCCAACAAGATCAAGCATGATTGGTACCAGAGTAATGAGAATGTCACATTCACGTTGCTGGCGAAGGGCGTGTCGCAGTCCGAGGCGAAGGTGGAGATTGACAAGGACTCGGTGAGTAGAAATAGGGCAGCTTCCCTCTAACTCACAAGCTGACGACCACAGCTGAACATATCCTTCCCTATTAAAGACTCCTCCGACTTCAACTACTCCCTCGATCCTTTCTATGCCCCTGTGGATCCATCGCAATCAACCTTCAGAATCACACCAACAAAGATTGAGGTTACGCTAAAGAAGGCCACACCGGGGATCAAATGGCATGCACTCGAAGGCGACCACGATCCCTCTGACCCATCCGAGCACAAGACATCCATTCCCTCGCACATCCTGGCCCCAAAGACAAATGAACAACCACCCGCCTATCCAACGTCCTCGCGCAAAGGTGTAAAGGACTGGGACAAAGTTGCGAAGGACCTTACCGCGAAAAAGACCACGCCCGGCGAGGACGGCGATGATTACGGGGACTTGGATGATTTCGACGGCGACGAGACCACCCGCTTCTTCAAGCATCTGTACAAGGGGGCCGATCCAGATCAACAGCGAGCTATGATGAAGAGCTACCAGGAGAGCGGTGGGACCGTGTTGAGCACCGACTGGAGCAACGTTGGTAGCAAGACGGTGGGACCTGAGCCTCCAGATGGTATGGAGGCGAAGAAGTTCTAAGAATGCTGTTCGACTATAGCTTCCAAAAGGTGTGAGAGACAGGTTCTTCTACATGGCTGTGTGCGAGAAAGTAGGGAGAAATCGGTGCGGGGTGATAGGCGTCAAGATTAATTATTAGCGATGCATGGCGGCTGTGCTTTGAAATCGGCGCAGGATATGAAACTTTTACACACCTTTACTATGGCTGAGCATTGTGATGGACTCGATCTGCTTTCTCACGATCTGTGCTGAGCGAATCCAGGGGTGTAATGAGAGTGTCCAGACCGCTGTAGTAACCAATTCTTCTGGGGGTTTCTCCCCCATCTCGCAAAGACCTTTTCCAAGTTACGCCAAAGCTCCCTAACACATTATTCGGAATCCAATGTCGGGACTCCGAAATGACAAACCCCTCATATCAAGAAATCATACGCCTAAAGTCACCAATCGCGTCTGTTGGAGCTTTGTCATCTGTCTTTCTGGACCTTGCCCTTCTTCATAGATCCTAGTCATCGATCTCTCGGGAGCTTCCTCCGCCAATCCTCCTCCGCCATACGAAAGTCATGCACGTTTTTGCCACCTCACATAGACACCACATGATATTTTGCCAACCTGGTTTCCCAGACTTGCGTAATTTCTTCGTTTGGTTTACTAACCCGTGGGTTAAAAGCACCGAAAGCCCGAATGCGACAAGCTTAAGACGCGAATGCGAGGACGTCATTCCTCTTTGTCAAAACAAACTATGCATGTCAAAAACTAGCTTCGAGCCCCGCAAAGCTGAGATGAGTAACTTCCAGCTGTGATTCTGCATCTAGGCCATCTACTTTTAGCTACGCATTCACAAGCGGGGCAAGTTGTTGTAAATCTTTCATGTTCACCAGGACTGGCTGGGGGTATATCAGACAGGTTTTCTTTCCTTTGAGTTCTCAAACTGCGTCATTCAGAAAGTCATTCCGATCGAGCTTCCCACCTCAGCTCAAGTATTTTACGAATCTGAATACTTGGGACAGAACCATGGCTACGGCTACAGCTTCGAAGATCCACCTTGTGCCAGAACTGTTGAATAAGGCTACATTTTCTGTTCCTGGGGTTAGTAAGGAGAGTGCGGAGACAACAAATCGGTTGTTGCAAGAGAATCATGAGAAATATCATATTTTCTTCAATCAGAGTGGCTTCCATGTAGGTCTGAGCTCATACTATCCTCGAGATTCTTTACGCACCACCTCATCCTTCTTCTCCTAACTACCAAACCCAAAGCTAATCACTCCAAGAACCACATAGCACACCACCTGCTCACCATCTACGCCCTCGGTGCCTCCCCCTCCGAACTTAAGAAAGCCTACGACAACAATGCATCGTACCAACGACCTCCAGTCGCCCTGGAGCCGGCTGTTGTGGCGGATATGCATGTTCCAGAACGGTATAAATCATACCTAGGAGACGAGAAATACTACCACGACTTCCTAGTCTATTTCAAAGACGAAATTGAGAAGAAGGGTTGGCAGGAGGTAGTGAATGATTATGTGTTTAAGGGCGATGAGAGAGCAGATGACATGCTGGTGAGGATGTTCGGCGGTATGTATGGTCGACTGTGTCTATGTCTACGTGTATATCCATTATCAATGTCCTTTCCTTTGTAGTCTACTCCTCTGCTCTAACACCTGCTCGACTCCCCACAGACCCCGGACACTAAGGGAAAAACTAACCGTACTCCCAGGCTTCCTTCACCCACTGATCCACCTTGGCTTCGGCATCGAATTCCAGCAGCCCGCTATCATCGCAGAAGCCCTTGCACAAGCCGCCGTCCACGGTGCATGGATGGGCGCTTTTTTCCACGGCTGCGAGGCCACCACTTGGGCAAACAGTCCGGACCGGCGGTCTGAGAAAACCATTATCCAGCTACTGGACGAGATTAGGGGTGATGAGAAGCTGAGAGAGGCCCCGCATTGGGGTGACGGGAATAAGATCAGAGATGGTATTTTTCAGAGGGGGAAGGAGGAGATGATCCGGATTGCGAGTCAGTATTTTGCTGTCGAGGAGGAGTTGGATAAGAAGGTGGCAGAGATGGTGGATGCAGTTGGTATGTCTGGTTTTTCCATGTCTTCATGATCCATACCACACACCTCCCATCTCCACCTAACCTCCTTAACACTGACAACCCCCCTTGGTCTAGTCTACTACACCGCTGCTGCCCAACACCCCCCCTCCATCCCCAAAATCGACTTCTTCTACATGCACTGTGTAAACAGCTCCATCTTCTTCTTCTCCCTGCTCTCCCCCTCCCAAACCTGGCTCTCAACGCCCGCAAAAATCCGTCTCTTGGAGTGGAAAGTACGCGCTGATCTCGCCATGTATGCAAGTAGACGGAGTCCTCCGCTACTACTGGAAGAAATAACGGAGTACATCCCCATGAACAAAAACCCTCAGACCAAGGACATTGACTTCTGGGCCAACATTTTCTCTCGAGCGCGGCGCTTTGAAGATGACGGCCACGCATCGAAATTAATCCGCGCGCTGGCCAAAGGAGAAAACGTGTGTGTGAAGTTCGAGGGGAGGGAGGGGTTCGTGGTGCAGGGGACGATGTGGAAGAAGGTGGCGAGTATGGTGATGGATTCTGTGGAGGCTGGGGGTCCGAGTTGGGTTAGGGGTGCTGGGTTTGAGGAGGCGTGGGAGGAGGTGCCGTTGAGGGAGGCCCCTGGGGATGGAGTGAGGTTGTGATGGGAGGAGGGGTGAGAAGGGTAGGGAAGAGGGCTAGTTTGCCCATATTACACATCCTCTTCAGACTGACGTGCATGATTTCCGCTTTGAATTTGTACAGTAGTGTCACGAAATTACCAGGCCGGTGAATTGGAGGGACAGAAACAAAGCAAGTCCCTCTTAAATTGGAATTAGGAAATATAATGGGTGCTTGAAGCGGGGTGCCAGCTTTGTGCAGCTTTCAAGTTATGTGTGTATGTCTTTCAAGCCTACTATCCTCCTCGCCCATCCAAATTGCCGATTTCGATACGCTTACGAGACCTGCGTTCTATAAAATAACCTTATTGGGGTGTACCTCTTATATGCCTTCCTACCCACCCCTTACTATACCAGGAGATCCAGAATCCAGGATTCAGCTTGAATATCCCACCCAGACAGCCAGATGCCATCACTTCCCTCAGAACATTTGCACCCAGACCTAACACATCCCCGTTAAAAGCGCCATTCCAGCATCAGCACTTGCCACATCATCATCCTCATCCTGCAACAACTTATCAATTTTCTCCTTCGACTTAATCCTCCAAAAATCTCTCGCACCGTCCGCAAACCGCTGAGAAATAGGCTCCAATTCGTCCTCTGGACACGCTGCAAAGCATAGACGGAAGCAATTGAAAGAATCGGCCTCACGAATCTCTTGAGTGGGCGAAAAGATGTTGCCGGGGCTAACGAGACACAGATACGGCTTTGTAGCCCAGAACACCCACAGCGCGCGAGAGAGCCGAGGAGCGTCGACTTGCTTTCGAAGAGGATGTGTGGAGAAATCAAACCGAATCCAGACGAACATGCCGCCTAGCGGACGCACGAAATCGTACATTTTGGTTGTCTCCACGACAGCCCAGTCGTCTTCTTCATTTGCAACTTCGGAAAGGGAGTTTCGGCGCCCGGCTTTAACTACGTGTTTTCCAGCGTCGAGGATATCGCACATAGCGTTCATTCGACGCTCGTAGTTCCCGCGCAGACCCGCAAGCCAGCGAACCCATCCGTCGACTTTCCAGCCACTGCCATCTGCGGCGCCGCCACGTCCGCCATCCGAGGAGCTCTGGGGCCCCATGACGAGTTCTGCGATCATGGATTGCACGAACCCGGAGGGCTGTTGAGTGCTGGTCTCTGTGATGCGGAGGATGCGTTCGATGAGGGCGGGTTGGGCTGTTATCCAGCCGAGACGACATCCCGGGGCTACAGTTTTGGAGAAGGTGTCGAGGCGCACGACGCGGCCTTGGTAATCCACCGAGAGATATGATGGGATCAAGGAATCTAGGAACTCGAAGCCGGAGGATTTGGCTGGAGTTGGAGGTGAGGCGTACGGGGAGGCGGAAGGGAACTGTAAGTACCAGTACGGATCGTCTTCGATGATGATTATGTCATATTTTGCGCATAGGGCGTATATTTCTTTGCGACGGGCAACACTCAACGTCCCGCTGGTTGGGTTCTGGCCAATTGTCACGGTGTACATGAGATGCGGGCGGCGGCCTTTGGTGAAGTCCCAGTTGTCCAGCACGTCTTCCAGGCCACCTTCTCCGGAAGCGCGCATGCCCTCATCGTCGATAGCGACGGGCACAACATTCAGGCCCCTCGGCTTCGCGGTTTGTACAGCATTCATGTAGCAGTAGTACTCGACCAGTAGACCCGGTCTCTCGTCTATGGGATCGTGGCTCTCGGACCATTCGTTGCTCAGCGCCTGGATAGTCTTCCCAAATCCATCAGTCGATCCACAGGTCAGGATTACCTCAGGCCCGTCTTTGTATGGGACGAACGGATGCAGGTTCTCTCGGGTGAACTGCCGAATAAAGTTGTACAGAGACGGGTATCCCTGGGCAGTGCCATACTGCAGTGCTGACTTCAAATCGATCATGCGCAAGGGGTCAGCAGCTCCAGAGTCGTGCGGCACCACGAGGCGCGAAGCCGGCGGATCGTCTTTGGAGTCTTTCGAGAGAGACAACGATGCGAGCTCGGCGATGGGAGGGTCTACAGGATTATTGGGCGTCGGCTTCCATCGATTTGGCAGCGCAACCTTGGCCTCAAGGGTATCATAGGGGAAGTACTTGTCGTTTGGGAGGCCTGTGATAGACTGTCTTCAGCATTCTGCACCCCACGGGTCATCGAAACCATACCTCCTGCTAATTGGCCAATGCCAGGAATGGCGAAGTACTTGTAGAATTTTTTGACACTTGACGCCTCACGGGCGACGGTGCTGCGGGAGAGGTGGTGGGACAGATCGACTGGAGAAGGGAAGCTTGCCGGGTCGAGGCTGCCTTCGTAAGCCATAATGTGGGGGAAACGCGGCTCTCTCTATGTATAAGCTATCTAAAGCTGGAGAATAGTCCAGGTAAATGGCTATTGCGACATTAAGGGAGTGAATTGCGAAGAAGTAGGCGAGCTCGTCCGCAGCTTGTCCGCAACACCCAGTGATAGCTGGCAGATACGCCGCGATAAGAGCGAGCTTAGAAATGCGGGCGGCAGACATGCATACATGCGGACATGCACACATCCATGACGACGGGTCTGTTCACTAAACCTAAATCTCGACGGGACGCATACACACTGCAGGCACGGCAGAGCAGGCTTGGCTCTGTTGGATACAAAGATGAAGTGAAGCCATGTGCCAGAACTGCTGGGCAACTCTCGAGGCAAAGCCGTTGTCCACCTCATTGTCACTGACGTGTAGGGCTGATAGATAGCCTTGGCCCGTGTGAGAATGCTCCGACAGCCATGGGGCCGACACCTGCAGGGTGTGCTGCACACCGCAACAGCAGCCCCAGCTCGTTCGTTTCTCTCACCAACTCTCAATCATCCGCTTCCCTCTCCATCCACCATTCCTCTCCTTTAAAAACTTATTCTTTCTTTCTCTCTTTCTCGTCCACATCCTTCCTCCCCCCCCCCCCCGCATTCCCTACCCTCGTTGTCCCCGCGGCCCCACCATCCCCCAGCCCAGCCCAGCCTCACAGAGCTTCGTGGCACCTCTCCCGAATCCCACAAACCGCAAACCTGTCTCCCCACAGTTCCCGCCACGAGCTCGAACATATCCCGGCTATGGGACCGTCGGACGATTTGGATGACGAGGGTGCTCCTCCCCACGTCTACCGCGATGACGACTCGGCCAGTGTCTTCTCCTACCACTCTAACCACTCCGCCATCTCCGACACGGTCCTCATCCACGGATCCGAAGCCTCCGACGAGGAATACTACATACCCCAGGAACCTTATCATGTAAAGAAATACATTCCGCCGCGATTCCAGCGCGCGTGGCGGGCCACCAAGAAATGGGTCAAGGGCCCCCAGCCTCCGAGGCCATGGAGGATACACCCCTTCTTCCCTCGTGTACAGACAGCGCCCATTCAATTCCTGCATAACTATTTCCCAAAGAGGAAGCACAAGGTCTTCCTGTTGATGTTCTTTTATGTTTGTTGGCTGTTGAGTTTCGGGCTGGTCCTGCATCGCTCCGCATTTGCGGCGGATATTCCTGGCCACGGCCCTCCCGTGCGGATTAGTTGCACGGACAGATTTTGGTAAGCATGTCGAGTCCTAGGTTGGGTGCAATTTGCATCTAATAGCACTATAGGAGTGATGGAAACGGGTGCGGTCTGAATGGGGACCTCTGCCGTCCTTTTGAAAACAGCACCGTGACGTTCCGCTGTCCAGCAAATTGCAGGCGTGTGCAATTGCTAAACCCCCATCCTGTTGGAGATCAGGAAGTAAATTACCGACCTCTAGTTGTTGGTGGCCCAACAGATGAGCCCGAGACCCTCGAACATACCTTCTACCGCGCTGATTCCTTCATTTGTGGCGCAGCAATCCATGCAGGATTCATCAGCGACGAAACCGGCGGCTGCGGGGTTGTCTCTCTGGTTGGGGAAAGAAGCAACTTTCCCAGCGTCAACAGGAAGCATATCACGAGTATTGCTTTCGATTCTTATTTCCCCAAGTCTTTCTCATTTTTGTCCGGCACTGCGTCGAAGTGCCGAGACCTCCGCTGGCCACTTCTTGGCGTTTCTCTTACTTTTACAATTCTCATGTCACTTTTCACCACATCTCCGGCCGTTTTCTTTCCATCGGTATTTCTAGGCATATTCTTCCACGTGGCGCTGGCGTCCGATCCCCCAAATCTCACCGATTACTATGCCATTGTTAGCGTCGCTCTCGGCAGATTATTGCCAGCTAGTTTTTGTATGTTTGTTGTATACCAGTATTGCGTCAGGCGGCAATTGCAGGGCCTCCACGCCCAGATAGAAAAGACTATCCTTTGGCTAGGGGGATGTTGGGTTGGCGCCTTGAACAACTACACCTTCGACAAGATCCCAATTGAGCGCCTCACGCCTCACGACATCAAACAACAACCCGGGGCAGTACCCGCACTGATCATCATCGTGCTTACTCTCTTCTCCATTGCGCTTGGCCAGGCATGGGCAATCCGTATCGAAGGCCGCCTACCGCGGTACCTCGCCGTCTACGGCCTCTTCGTGGGCGTTCTTCTCTCTCTCGTCGCCGTCCCAAAAATGCATGTCCGCATCCACCACTACATCTTAGGCCTCCTCCTTGTGCCGGGAACCGCCATGCAAAACCGGCCTAGCCTGCTCTTCCAAGGCATCCTCATCGGCCTTTTCATTAATGGTATCGCGCGCTGGGGCTTCGACAGCATTCTCCAAACACCCGGCGAACTCCGCGGCGACGCTCCGCAGGGCAGCTCCCTCCCCGCCATCTTCCGGCCTGTGATACATAATAATTTCGGGGGGCTATTAACGCCGAACATCACCTTTGAGTGGCCGCTTCCACATCTAGAGAGATATGATGGTATGAGTGTGCTAGTCAATGATGTAGAGAGGTTCAGGGGGTATGAGGATCGTGGAATGAACTCGTTTACGTGGTTGAGACATGAGGTGGATATGCCGGAATACTTCCGCTTTGCGTTTATGAATGGCAGTAGTCGTGGAGATTACACGACAGCGGGCGTGTGGCGGACGGATGGGGGTTGGACGGAAATGGGGTCGGGACATTCGTAAAGATGGATAGATTGTCTCCTTGTCCGGATTACGTGCTAGACGGACTGGACAGGGTCGAGAAAGCTGTCTAGCTAGAGTGACGCTCGACTGCAAGTGAGGGGCACGGCGATCAGGCATCGTGATGTCGTGTGCAGATGCCGATGCAGGGTCCGTGTCTGATTGATTCTGCGTACGTGTTTGAGAAGGCGCATGGGTTTGACGACAGGACCAAGGATTACGGTATGGCGTTGCGTGCGGTTGCACGACTCCGCAAGCTGATGAACGGCGCATTATCATATTTGCAAATGTGACGGAGTATACCCCCCTGTTCTTGCGGAGAGGGTGGATGATGCAGAGGGTTTTGTTGCATGCACACATGCATGCATCGCATAGACTGGATACCTTTCTAGCCATCTAGACGAGGACTTGGGTGAGAGTTGGGTGCGCAAATGCATTATTATTTTTTTGAATTGCAATTACTGTGCAGTTGCAACACCCATCTCTCTTTCTTACCACTGCTGTGAGTTTCAGTGTGATGCTGCTCCGGCTTTTGGCCTGCAGGCAGACAGGCAATCCTCTTGGAATATTCATTTGCCCGCGCGTTCCTGGGATCCAAGGAGTCTGGGCAGGCTCACATCAGGCACATACTCTCGACCGCCAGCCAGGTGTGCGGCACACGCCATCCGTAGATATTACCGTTCCAGACCACGGATCCTTCGCTCTCGGAAATACAAAGACCAGACCCAAGCCAAACCACGCCAATCCATCGATCTCTGGTTATGGATTTATAAATCATACGGTGATTGTGTGGCTGAGCGTGAGCGTGAAGTGCCATGCATCTTTGAAGGAAGGGGATGAAGGAATGTTGGTATGGTGGAAGTGGAGTGTAATTTATTCACTACGAGGAGACTCTGGGCGGGGCAGGTTCGCCTCGTGGCACAGCAGCCAGCACTTGCGATGATTACCGTGGGACGGACCAGAATACTATTATTATACGTCTCTTCAGCTTCAATTAATCTTCGTAAGTCAGCCGAGGCTAGCGGCAGCCGCCTCGTCGTTTACAAAAATTCACAATTATCGTGGACGTATTGAGCACAAGCACGATGGAATCTGACAGGGAACGATTCAAAAGATACGATTGGAGCGCTGGAGCCGCAGCCAAGGGGTGGTGCGATCGTTGGCTTTCGCGTGGGATGGTATCGATAGGCTTTGCATCTGTTGGCCTTGTGCGGCTGGAAATTGTGCGCGAGGCATGAGGGCGAGAGCGCTTACTTAAATCCTGGAATCTAGGGGTCCGGACGTGAAAGTATATCTGTCGATACCTATTGGACTGGACTAGGCTGGGGCTAGGGTGGTGGCGTGCGGCGTTGCGACCTAGTATCTGCTGCTTGACCGCGATGGCGGTGAGTAACAGGCGGGTCATTGTGGCAGAGGAGGGGTGGAGACCCGGTGTAATTTCGTTAACACCTCACGATGCGGAGGAAGGGGTCCGCTTGGAGTTTCGCAAGACGAAGCTCAAGCAGCAACGTCGTTTCTTCCCCAGACACTCCGTACATCTAGTCTTAGATTAGGGTATCGGCAGATGGATAGGAGAGGACGATGGACTCAGAGGACGATGAACTCTGGTGCACTGATAGAGGGAGGTTACGATCCGCCGCGAAAAACTGGGACTTGTGAGAGACTTGTCACTCATGATGTCGACCGGAGTCGATAATAGATATTTTGGGCGAAGAGGAGATTGCGGATTGCGCAGTGCAAGCGCACGGAGGATTCTCAAGAGCGGGTGCGCGCCGGGCTTGGGGAAACGCAGGGCGATCTTATGATTGATGCGGTGTCGTGGTAGGTATCCTAGGCGGATTGCAGCATGGCATGGGAGAGGGAGTGAAATAGGATGTGTGAGGGTAATCTATCTTGCTGAGAAGAGTGGCATGTTGGGTTCTTGAAAAAGAACCTCAGGATGTGGCGATAGGTGCCTGAGGCTACGGTGAATTGCAAGACTCCATCTACCCTCCGGTGTCTGCCCCTCAGCGATCCCTTGGACTGTTTCAGTCGTCTGTTTGCGCGCTAGCGCATTCCCTGTTCCTTGTACCACTACCGAGCCATCCTAGTGGCACCCAGGCTAATCAGGGTTTCACCTCTTTTAAACAAGAGCATTCCTTCATTTCTGTGCAAAACACCATCGTGCGTTCGGTCTTGGTTGGTATTCTTTTCCCCTCTTTCCCTGTCTCTCCCTTCTTTCTCGCGCTCGCCCTTGCGGTGCAATCTTGTCATTCTTTACCGCTGGTTTCTCAGCATCTTCGTTCGCTAGAGGCATTATCATCCGGCTTTTGCAAAGTTTCGGACTCACGCTCCTTTTCGTTGTGCATACTGTGTAGGGGACGGATTTACAAATTGGGAAGTCCTGGCGGCTGGGGAAAAGAGTACCAACACCATCTTCACTACCTGGGATACTTGATTTATCAACACGAATCGACTTTTGTGAACCGTCACATCTCTTCCGCGAACGTCTCATCACATCGTCCAACACGTGGTGGTAGAAGAGATACACAACCAAACCAACGAACGGACTGCAGACGCTTGTATCTAGTCGCCTCTGGAACATTCACGGCGCACTCCAGTTAAAACTACCTTTGCGCTCACAATCGTCATCTTGGACACCATTCCCAATCCACGATTCACCCATCGCCAGAAGATGAAGTCAGCTACCTCCTTCGCAGCCATCGTCGGCCTCTTATCCGGCGCCGCCGATGCTTTCTGGCGCATGGAATGTCATTCTCGCACTGGACTGGCGCGTATAGATCCTCTCGTTGAGCCGAATGAAATCGCCAACCATGGACATGTCATCCACGGCGGAAGCAGTAAGTAAACAGGCTCCACTTCTCCACCTTGTTCGAACGCATAAGAGATCTTCTCCTCTGGGCACGGGCATGGGAAACCCTGATCGCCCTGCGCGAACCATCCCTTTTCACTGGAAATGTCAAGCGGTTTCGAAAGCTTGTTAGCACATGAGGCAGGATAGGTTTCATGGCTAAGCATCAACTCGCTAATGCTTGCACGCAGATTTCGGAATGGATACGACATACGCCGACCTCAGGGCTTCTGAGTGCACGTCATGCCGAGTTAAGGAGGACAAGTCGGCTTACTGGTAGGTCGACCATGAACGTTCATTGGCCCAGGAGTTTACTCACGGATATCCAGGACTCCTTCTATGAACTTCATCTTCGAGAATGGCACTACCGTGCTTGTCCCGCAAGTCGGTGGCATGCTTGCGTACTATCTTCTCTATGGCGAAAACATTAAGGCTTTCCCAGCGAACTTCCGAATGCTGGCTGGTGACACCCGCCTCCGTAACTTTTCCGGCCCGGTCCCAGATCCACCAAAGTCGAACTGGGGACCTGAAGACAAGACGCAGTTTGCGCTGGGACAGAAGGCGCTGGGTTTCAACTGCCTAAACTATGCGAAGACCCCCGAGGGTTCAATGTACCGTCATTTCCTCCCTGACAAGCAGTACATGGATGAAAACTGCGCTGACGGTATCCGTGCCGAGATATTCTTCCCTTCTTGCTGGAATGGAAAGGATCTTGATGCGAAGAACCACAAAGATCACATGGCGTATCCGGATCTTGTCAATGATGGGACTTGTCCTGAGGGCTTCGACACTCGCGTTCCATCAATGTTCTTCGAAACGATATGGAACACAGCTGCTTTCAAGGGTCAGGCGGGACAGTTCGTGTTTTCTAACGGTGACCCAACTGGTACGTTTCTCGGATATTTTGTTCATCGAAACCATACTGATGACCTCAGGCTATGGCTACCACGGAGACTTTATGACAGGCTGGGACCCCGACTTCCTCCAAACCGCCGTCAACGATTGTACTAACCCCTCCGGCAACATTGCCGACTGCCGCCATTTCACTCTCCAGACCGAAGCCGAAGGCGCCAAGTGCACGTTCAAGATGCCTGATGTTCTGAAAGAGGACAACTGTGCCGGCCCAGCTGATGGTCTTTGCGGAAATGTGCCTATCCAAGCTGGCCCTGAATACGCCTCACTTGTCCAACCCGGTGACTCGGCGACTCCTACAGGTGGATACACTCCTCCGGCAACGACAGAACTCCCTCCGGTTCCCACGTTGTCGTACAAGGCGCCAACCTCGGCTGTTACCGACAAGTATGGTGGTGGCATCTCCGTCGCCGCCATCAATGCCGGCCTATCCCAGGCATCTGAGGTCGCCATTGCCGCCACGAGCACCCCAGTCGTATCTGAAGCACCACCCTTTGTTACAAGCGCACCAGTTGTGCCTGAGCAGCCGCAAGGCCATGTGATCTCAACATCTACGTACACGAGCGCCGGCACCGTGTACGAGGTCGCGATCATGGAAGTCGATATCACGGTGACGGTGGAACCGACACCAGCTGCGCGACATCGCCGTCATGTTCACCATATGCATCGCCGAGACCGCGAGCATGGATTGTTGGGACGATATTAAGTTATTGTTCTAACTGCTCCATCTGCTCTTTTGTCCTCTCTCTGTGTTGCACGCATGAATAGGCGTTTATCAGCCATACATTCTGTTCCAGCATCCTTTATCCCTTCTCACCCTTTCTTTAGTACACGGCACGAAAGAGGGTGAGGCTTTTCTAGTATATATGATGTTGGAATTTTGGATCGAAGGATGATATGGTGGTGTGGTGTGCGTATGCTTTTCTTACAATACCTTTCTATTTGTGATCGATATTAGGGTTTCGAGAGCCCGACGGCATATGCATGATGTGTCGAAGGCTGAGCCGGATGACACTCGGGCGTAGGCACACTTGATGTTTTGAGCATATGAGACGAGAGAGTTCGCTGTTGTTGTTGCTACATTATACCAAGACTTGGATGGAGGATTGGACCCCTATTCCGTAGCGTGGATGGGAAATCAAGGGGATGATACCATTGAGAACTTGAGTTTTGGATATTTGATCACTTGTGAATTTGGGGCAGTTTTTTGATTCTTGGTGCTGTTCTCTCAACAAACAATTTCATACAAGAGAGAGAACGAAAACGATGCGGAATGACCGTTCATCAATGCATGGGGTAGTGCTCAATTGTGGCGGTGTCAGCTTGGATGATCAAGCCACACCATCCGTGGATCCAGCTGCGAGGATCGCTCCCACCGAGAAGCAGGCCACACACCTTTCCGCCCTTTTCCCCCTGCGCCCAGTTACGTCGGCCAATATGCTTTTGGAGTCGATCTTGCCCTCTATCCCTCATCATCAGCATGCATACTATGTGCTGCAGCCTACATGCCACGCCTCCGTCCTTAAACTAGCAAACGGGCATTCGGGAGTGCCCGCTAGACAGTCCAGCGGTCAAGGGTTTCACCGCCACTTGTTCAAGTCATTGGGTTTTATCCACAACGGTTCCTCGGGCTAGTCAAGGCGGTGATTCGTGCGTGGGAATGTGAGACCGGTCAGGCAGGGTTCCGTCCGCAGAGAATGGACAGAACAGCGGAGCTGATTGAGCTGGAACTTTGTCTAGAACACGCGCTAAGACTTGAAGGGGGTTTTTATGACTAGCTTTTCCACGATAGGTACCATGTGGAGTGAAGTTGAGGTGTGAGGCCCACTGCCCACCCTTCAGCCTCACTGGTTTAGTACCAATTTGTCGTAGGTCAGGATGGGAGAGGCTGAGTATTTATCTCCTAGGGCGGAGGCCGCTTGCAGAGGCTTAATATAAAGTTAGTTTTCTTTCCTGCTTCATGTTTTAGGCATCTTTTCTTCCACGTCTTGTGCCTTTGAGCCAGGAAGTTGTATTTGGCGGCTTTGCTCGGTTATTTTGTCTCTGGGGTGTCTCTTATACTTTCCCTCTTTTATAGGCACGTTTTTCATATCGAGTGGTATTTAGATAATAGCCAGGGGCTCACAACCTCCAACATGGACTTCACGAAACTACAAGGTATCAAATTCGATACCTCATCCTCCAACACCACCCTCATAAATCTTCCCTCAACACTCCTCGAAGCCCTCATCCCCGGATATGGACTCATCTCGCAGATAATCTTCAAGCTCCTCGGTTTCGATATCGGCCTCGTCGTCTCCGCGTGTCTCGTCGTCGTCGGTCTAAGCAAAGCAATCCAATACCTCTACAACAAATCCTACGGCGTCTTCTCCTCCTACTTCATGTCCAGCATCCAAATCGAAGACGACGATGAACTCTTCTCCCAAATCATGGAATGGATCGCGGAGCAATCTATGACAAAAGTGTCGCGGGATCTCAAGGCGGTTACGAAATGGGTCTCGGCTTACGAGGAGAGTAGTGAAGAAGCCAACGCATCTGACGACGATGTGCTCGATGAATCCGGAATCTTCAATTTCGAAAAATGGGCGAGTAATATTCCGCCCAGATATGAGCCTAACTTTGGGAGTGACCGGTTCTGGTATGAGGGGAAGATGTTTTTCTTCTCTCGGACGCGGCGCGAGAAACAGAACAAAAGTCCGTGGGGGAACAACGAGGATCAGTTCCTGGATATCAGCTGCGTGGGTCGGAGTACGGAGCCGATTAAAGAGTTGTTAAATCAGATCAAGAGGTGGACGTTGACTAAGGACAACAAGATGACAGCAATCAATCGGCCAGCACCGAAAGAGGAACGGAGGGATTATGCGTGGGATCGAACTTCTCTGCGACCTTCTAGGCCCATGAGTACAGTATCTCTCGACCAGGAACAGAAGGCAAAGATCGTCATGGATATCAACGAATATCTCCACCCAGCGAGTGCTCGGTGGTACGCCGCTCGTGGCATCCCCTACCGGCGAGGCTATCTCTTCCATGGCCCTCCTGGCACAGGCAAAACATCCTTGTCCTTTGCTCTAGCCGGCATCTTTGGTCTTGACATCTATTGTATTTCACTCATGGAAGTTGGCCTCACGGAATCCGATCTCAACAAGCTCTTCACCAATCTTCCACGCCGTTGTATCGTGCTCCTCGAAGACATCGACTCCGCCGGTCTCCGCCGTCCTGACGAACCAAGTAATCCAACCGCCAAAGATGACGAGGATTCGAGCGAGGATTCTGGCACGGACGACGGTAGCTTGACGAAAGTTAGCAAGGCCGATGCCGGAATAAAGACACCGGGGCAGAACCCACTAACGAATGGCTTCAAGAGCTTGATCTCACTGTCCGGGCTGTTGAACGTAATTGACGGGGTTGCGTCGCATGAGGGCAGAGTGCTAATCATGACAACCAACCACCCAGACAAACTCGACGCCGCTTTAGTCCGCCCTGGCCGCGTTGATATGCAAGTCGGCTTCTCGCTCGCAACGCGCGACCAAATCCGTGATATCTTTACTCGCATGTACTCGACTGAGCACGACATTGAAAAGTCGGCCTCTAACTCTACCACCTCTTCTTCAAAGCCCCCTACCAAAGACAAATCCAAACCTGTTGAATCCCCCAAGCTTAAAGACCCAGACCAAGAATTCTACGAGCTCCTATCCCAGCCACCCGTCCTAGACATTGTGGAGCCGGAGAAACTGAAAGAGATGGCAGAGCAATTTGCTGGACTGTTGCCAGAGGGAAACTTCTCCCCGGCGGAGATACAGGGATTTTTGTTGATGCGGAAGAAGGAACCAAGTCGGGCGCTGAAGGAGGTGGAGGCGTGGAGGGATGGGTTGATTGATATGAAGAAGAAGGGTGAGAAGGTTTTGGAAGTGCAGTAGCGAGAGGGTGAGGAGGTGGGGTTTTCCTATATTTCGGAAGGTGAAAATATTACGGATTCGGATGGAGTTCATCAAGGATCTTGTGCAAGACATTCGGGGAATTGATTATTCTATCCGGCGTTAAATAGGCCTTGTTATATGTATCCTATCTTATCTAAAAACACCAGCAGATTTGGGATGATTCTAATACTGTTAGAACCCCTTGAATTTTTCTGTATATATATATATATATATATATATTTCAATAAAAAGGTATGGTAGCTATGATAGCTGACGCGATAGGGCTGCCTGGATTTGGGGTGTGCATGTAACAAAGAGATTGTACACGGAGCAATTCCCTTAAAGCTGTATAAACGTACTCTGGTCTTTCTATACCTCTTTTAGTTGATTCAGTAGAGTATGTTCTCTACTCAAAAAATATTACTAGAAGTAGTTCCAAAGTTGCTATCTGCATAGACTAAGTTACTCAGAGCTGTATACAAGGAAAGTCATGATGCACTCCGCCTCGTTCACTCAATACTAACTGTTTCTCTCCTAGGCCATGCACCTCGCCTCGTTCTCGGCCTTGTATATCAGCCTTGCTACTAATTCGCCATTCGACTGCAATTCGCCTTACATCTTTTGCCTAATTATAGGTCTCGATTGCGACCTTCCGAATGCGCAAAGTGTGAAGTGTTTTGCTTTGCTGCATCAACCGGGCACATCTCATTGAACGGCAGGGTTCCCATCTAGAAAAGGCCCCGAGTGGAAGCAGCAGTCCCGCAGACATTGCATTTCATAGCGAGGCTGTGCAGACGAGAAAGTCGCATCTCAATAGGTCAGAGTACGATAATTAACATATCAAGGTCCCCTGGATGAAACCCAATGGTTTATCTACCCTTTCGAGAGTGTCTGGTCTTCCAACGCGCTCACTCTACAGGATTATTTTTAGACATGATTTATAACTAATCACGCAAATTTGAATAGCTTTCCACATGAAGATAGCGCCTATATTCCAAAGGGGTAGCCTCGTATAGTGGACTTTTGGATACACTGAAGGTTATTCTCCCTCCTTCGCGGGAATGGCTCCTGCACTAGCGGACAACAGCCTAGAGTTGACGGAGATTCGTCGCTTTAGTTTGCAAATATCTAGTGCTTTCAGGCCGTCACAGCGAAGCCGCCATTGCCGTGACGACGACTCGGCATATATCACAGATCATTCGAATCTCATATCACCGAACAGTGCGTCTCGTCCGGCCTCACCATCTAGGCCCTCGCTATTAGGACGGTCGTCATCGGCACAGATGCCATTAACACAATCCCCATCAGGACAAGCACCAAGAATCCGACCCGCTCAATCTATATGAAAATTTCTATATGGAGAAGGGTGCAGAGACTTGCCTGCAACACATGAGTTACGGAGATTTTAAGTTGTGGGCTTGCTGCCATTTCGCTTATTGCGATCATCATAACGCTGAAGATACCTGAAGGAAAGCTATTACTGCAGTGGACTTTTAAGATCACAATAAACGCCTTGGCTACCATATTCACTGTGCTACTGAAAGCAGGACTAGCTATGCCGTTGTCTGAAGGTATGATATTAGTCCTCGCCTTAAGCTGAAGCGATGTCAATGATTCTGAAAAGGTATTAGTCAATTGAAACAGCAGTCATTTAGACACCGACAAGGACCGCTCTCTGATACGGAAGGGTTTGATTGTGCCAGTCGAGGGGCTTAAGGTTCGTTCCAATTCATCCTGACAGCGGAAGGGGAGGGCCAAGACATCCCGTGGCATCCCAAAACTTGGAAACGTTTACCCCGTCTACTCAGATGCAAAAAAGAGTAAGACCAATTCTTACGAGGCTTTGGGCTGCCTAAGGTGCATAAGGAAAGAAGCCGGCACTTCCTGATGTACTTTTCATGACAGAAGGTCTTAAATCTAGACTATTCTAAAAACTTTTAGGAACCTCCTGAAATACTTTGCCAAGTTCGCCGAGTTTATTACCATTCTGGCTTTCATCCCGGATCCATTCGCCCAACAAATTGTCCAGAACGTTGGTTGTGCCCAAATAATTACGGGAATAAACTCCATCATTTCCCGAACAGGTGAGTATAACGCAAGCCTTAGGAGTATAAAGGCAGGCCAAAGCGCTATTGCTCCGTCAAAGGCCGTGGCTATCAACCTTGGCATCTACAGCCCGCCAGACAGGATCTCAAGCTTGTTAGATACTAAATACAAGTCTGGTAACTGCACATTCCTAACAGTTGGGGTTTGCCACTCCTGCGACGACATCTCTAGAAATATCCGCGCCATGGATACGCCTATAGGGCTAAACTAGACACTAATCAAACCGTCGAACAGGGAGACAATTCTTTTTCTTGGGGCGTATTACTTCAAAATGGTCCAAATTTCTGTGGGAAATCCTAGCTGGAAGCCAAGCAACTTTTTCCAGTTCGTCACCATGCAGAGCGATTGGGGTGGGTGGATTCTCCGAGTACGCTCAAGGCGACTCGACGATCATTGCAGTTTTTCTAAAAGTGCAGTGGGCGTGGCTATCCTTCCTTACCGTTCTCACTAGGCTGGCGTTTACATTCTTCACTGTTTTTCTGATTCAGAGTCCGCACAGCGCCTCTGATCAGGTCTGGAAATCATCGAGTCTTGCCGTTCTGTTTTGTGCTTTAAATGATAGCATACATCCGTGAACGGGAATGCAGTCCATGATGGAGGAGATGTTCCAGTCCACGAAAGCGACTAGTGCGCGCCTTGATGAAGATAGAGATGTTAAGGCTCGATTTGAATAGTTCCTGGTATGTCGGGTCTAATTGCACGGCCCTTATATATTCAAATTAGCTGGAGAAACATATGAATTTTATCCCTGAGCTAGTATGATAATCTTAGCTAAGTGCCTTTTAAAGCCCTTGCGTTTGTAGAAATATTGGGATGTAGAGAGCTAATTTCAAGCCAGTGCCGTGATATCATGACAGCGTTTTTACCAGGTTGGAACGCCAAAGTGCGAAGCCATGATTTTTAAATGGCCTTGCTTCTTCACTAGAACGTGAAGTGTAGTTTTAACCGCGTAGCAAAGTACGGCGCAGCAAAGAATCGAGTAGCAAAGAAGGTCTGACGGCACAGTTTTCTGCTTCATCCTTAGGACATTCTCACCTCCAATAAATCCTTCCATCACCAGGAAGGATGGGCAAAATGCACTACGCCGCAAGAGATCGGAAAGTGGCGCATATGACCAAATCCTAAAAAGCCTCAAAATGAATGCGAACAAACCACCTTCTCCAGCGTGCCTATCCAAGTACTCAGTCTGTCAAAACCTCTTGCTAATCTATAGAACCACCTCCTCTTCGGCAAGGCTGGGCCTTAAGCTCTACCAGCCTCACATTGGAGTGATGTCGGGGAAGCCGGCACGTGCGGCATTAAGTTTCTCTCGTATTTTTAATTGACGAAGGATGAACTTGGCAAGTGTGTCCAACAGCCAAGGTATGTTCCGAGTGCCGGAGGAGGGAAATTTGGCAAATGCTATTTTTGGAGTTGGGAGATTGGCTAATGGGGTAAATATCGGGATGCCAGCCGAGGCACGATAGCCTTGACTTGAGAGGTGGCAAAGGGGAAAGAAACGAGCCCCAGGCCTGGAGAAGGTTTAAAGGAATGAGATGATGGGAGGATGAAGGAGGCTTTGTTGGCGGTGAATTTGCATGAAAAATCGTGTGTCACGAGCGAATCGTAGGCGCTGACAAAGGCGTTCACCTAACACTCCTTCACATTTGGCCACTCAGTCGTGCCCGTGCCTGGGCATTCGTCTTGGCCCAGTGATCGACCTGTCAACACGAAGTTTCAAAACGTCCATGTGGCTTATCCCTTTTGTTTCCTCCCCCGTGTCATTGGCTCGCGTGCTTTCTATGCACTCAAAGGGGATGGCGTCCTGGGCTGTGTGGCCAGTCTTCGACCACACTGGCCGTTGATACGAAATGCGACAAGGCGAGGATTTCAGCTTCGTTAAATAAGAATGAAGCGGCGCCCCGCGCTGGAGCCTGGGTGCGAATCTCAGCTTTTCCGTCTTCTTTTTATCGATAGATTTCAGAGGGGTTTAGCAGTGGGGTTTCTTTATCCTCTCCCTATTCTCTGTCCACGACCCTGCACCCCTTTGGTCGATCCTTCGAGCGAGAATTCGTAATCGCTCATTTGTGAAGAGTTGGGATTGAAAAGCTTGTATGAAAAAGATTCCGGAAAAGGAAGGCAACCAATCTGGATATATTCAGCCCTACGCTTCTTTGGTTATCGAAGCTGTAATCAGCAATCCTGCAAGGTCGTTGATCTAGATTAACGGCAAGGTATACTGCGCATATCTGTCGTGTACAGATACGAGTATCTTATACATCGGCTTTTTTCCCCAGCTTCACATTCCCCCATCAACAAACGTCGATTGCAAAAGAGGCTGCGCAGCCTCATAACTTGCCCCCGCAATGAGGTCGATAATAGCGCTCCAAGCGCTTGTTGTGCTAGCCTCCGCGCAAGCAGAATCATTTACCTTCGGGGCTACGAGGACTCTGAGGCCGGTGACGACGGGAGATATTCAGCCTTCAGCGACAGAGACGATATCAGGGCCTATCAGTACGGCGAGAGCATGTGCGCAGATTAGCGAATTGGTGGATAAGTCAAGATTAGAGTTTCCGAGTGTAGAAGCGGAGGTGAGTTTAGAATTTTCCTCTTAAGTTATACGAAGAGATGGGGGCTGAGAGGTGATGAGTCTAACGAGCCGTCTGGGGAATATATGAGAAATATATAGGACACTAACAGTGATTTTCAGCTTGCATTCGCCTGCCTTAAATCCGTTCCCATCGATACCGATGCCGCGTCCTTCACAATCGACTCCCTAAAACAGATGTTACAATTCCAATCCACGCTCATGTACCTCAAATCCCCCCCAAAAGGCTACGCAAACGATGCTGTGGATCTCATTAGCGGCCTAGACGACATCAAGAGTAAAGTGAATAGCAACGGTTACAGTAACGAATATGATTTTGAAACCGCCATCGCAACCCTATTTGTCAAGGCACATGATGGCCACCTGTCCTTCGATGGCATGGCATATGGAGGCGCATTTCGATGGAGAAGGTCGAGACAAGTCTCGCTAATATCTGCGTCATCAGACGGGAAAGAGCCGAAAATTTGGGCTCTGCAGGATTTTAACAAGACAAGAGCCAACGGCTTCACGCCTTCTGCGGTTTCTAAAATCGATGGAAAGGACGCTGCACAGTTCTTGCAAGATGAAAGTTTGCTGAATGCGTACCACGACCCCGATACAAGATATAACGCTATGTTCTACATGCAACCCGCGGAATCCTATGGATACTTCACGAACCCGAAGTTCTATCCCGGTCCTACGCTGAATCTGACGTTTGAGAATGGCACGGAACATACCTATATCAATGCCGCCGTAGTCCTGGACTCTTCTGCGTGGAGCTATATCTCAGACGGCAAGGATTTCTATAAGACCTTCGTTGCGTACAGTTCCAGTGGCTCCAAGAAATTGAAACAGAGGAACCCGCAACGCCTACCTCCACATTTGACGCATCCAAAGGAGACTAACCTGCACAGGCGATATGTTCCAACTGCGTACCCTAAACCAGTCGTTGAGCACTCCGCATCCGACGTGGGTCTTGCAGGCTACTTTATCGACACTTCCGCTGGAACCGTAGGCATTCTCATGATCCAGACATTCAACACGGAGTCAAACGCCGACGCTGTAGAATTCCAAGCTGTGGTCCAAAACTACATATCACAAGCCCAGAAGCGTCAGGTTAAAAAGCACATTATCGACGTGCGAACTAACGGTGGAGGTAAAATTCTATTAGGCTACGACACATACAAGCAATTCTTTCCGTCTCAAGTTCCCCAACTACAGTCCCGATATCGCGGTCACCAAGCCACCGATCTCATTGGCTCCCAGCTCAGCAGTCTTTCCTTCTCCAGTCGCACCGGCGAACTCTACACCTCACCATTCAACTTCCATAGCTACCTAGACAAAGACCTGAAAGCTTTCACATCTTGGACCAACATGTACCCTCCGGAAATTCACTCTAATGACAATTTTACGAAGCTTCTTCGCTACAATCTCTCCGACCCCCTCACCACCTCCTCGGAAAAATATTCCATCGGCATTACCCTCACAGGCTACAACTCGCGCTCAAACTTCACCACCGACCCCTTCAAAGCCGAAGACCTCATTATCCTCTCCGACGGTATCTGCGCCTCCACATGTTCCCTCTTCACTGAACTCATGGTTCAGCAATCCGGCGTAAAAACGCTAGCGATCGGCGGGCGACCCGCTCTGGGCCCGATGCAACCCGTCGGCGGCACCAAAGGCTCGCTCGTCCTACAATCGCAGTACCTAACATCACTCTCGGCATACGTCATCCAAACATTCGCCAGCTCACGCACCGAAGCAAACGCCTGGGAGAAATTCCTCCCCAATTCCTTCGGCATCAACGCCGCAGACGCCACAATCAACTTCCAAGACAACATCCGCAAGGGGCTCGAAAACGATGGGGTCCCGACCCAATTCCTCAACGACTCGGCTAGTTGCAGGATCTGGTACGAACCGGCAATGTATCTCAACGTGACGCAGGTCTGGGCTGCAGCCGCGGAAGTCGCGTTCGGTAACAGTGGGAAGCTAGATGAAAAGAAGTGTGTGACAGGGTCGGTGACTAGCCAGCAAGCGCAGCAGGGTCAAGGAGAAGGGAACCCAACGACGCCGCAATCGAGCTCGAGTGCGAAGCCGAGTTCGAGTAAGGGTGCTGCGGCGTCTGTGGCGGTACCGAAGGGAGGTTGGTCCGCTATCTTGATGTGTGGAGGAGTCGTGGCGAGTTCGATGGTGTTTGGAGCCAGCTTGATATAAACGAATCGCGCATGTCGTGAATCCGTTCCTTACTGGTCAGATTGGGTTTGGCATTTGCATCTCTCGGCGTTTTGATATCGAATGGAGTTTCAGTTCTGGGACGGACGCATGAAAGACGATTTGGGTATGGGCAACCATATGACGTGCCCCGAGAATATGTAACTGCCCTTCCATGGATGAAGAGTTTAGTTTTGTGTAGTGTAGTATAGATACCCCAGGTTGGCTTGGATTGCGAACAAGGATAGTAAGGTGGACGGATCGGATGTATGAAGGTAATTCAGAGAGGGAAAGATATTTATCTGTTCAATGTACTATCCCTCACCACGTAGCGAACATCACCACGTAGCGAGCGAAATAACAGGTACCTAGGTTTTGCAGTTGCGGAAACCCTCTGCACAATTACTTATATTTATTTCGCTGCTTGTATTGTTAACTTAGGACCTTCTTCTATCTCCCTACCACCGCTGCCTAGAAAAATACAGCCCTTGTCGTCGCCGCCGCGCCAATCTTACGAGGGCGTTATATTATGGCAGGGTAGGCCTTATCTCGTAGAGTCCTAACGCAGAGCTATCCGTCGCCCGTACGAAGTCTGATATTAGTATCTAACCCTTACAGCGTCGGCACCACGTCAATAGGCCTTTATCAGCCCTATGGCGGCTGAAAGAGGATGAATCATGCAAAGTCGCCACGCCGATCGGTACCTCCTAGGTTAAGCGAGATGACCTTAGTCATCTCAAGCGCCTCTTAACGTACACGTAATCAGTAAAGATAAGCCGCACTGTCCCTCTTAAAACATAAATACTTCCTGCTCCCCAGCCCCCTCTATGAAATAGAGATTAGAAAAGAAATATATAATAAGATGAAGAGAGTGTGTACGAGGTTAGACCTGCGTATGAAATTTAAGGAACGTAACGTTAGTACGACCCGAAGAATGCCCTAAAAAAACTGCGTTTCTGTAAACTGCAGCGCAAGTCGGTCGATATTCAAAAGGAAGCCATAGCATCTGCTGTTGGTGTAATGAAATCCACTGGTCTTGCACAAAGATCTGAGACGGCTGCGCTCTTTGGGGCAAGGGCGATAGCGTAGTAGGAGAGTGCAAAGGAATATCGCCGCAATTTGTTTCGATATACTGGCCGTCGGGCGAGAAGGCGACGACGGTGACGATGGAGGTATGGCCCTCGAGCACGCTGCGGCACGACCCCGTCGCCGCCTCCCACACCCGCAC